TGAGACATGGCTGTATCCCCTGGAGGGAGGGAAATTTCTCACTTTCCCTCTCTCTGTGACTATTTCTCTCTTTCTAGTGAGCGCACACACCTTAAGGCAAAAACCTCTAAAAATTCTTTTTTTGTTGAAATAAAGGAGGTCATAGACTTGGAAAACATAGGCTATAGTTAACTTTCTGTTCTTTTTTGTCTCTTTCTTTTTTTAACATTTGTTTATTTTCCATTTCTCTGTACTATAAGTAGATGGGCAGTTATTTTAGGGACATCTACTTCTAGTCCTCTCTTGCTGTCCCTGATGCACTTCATAATAAAATAAGGCATAAAATGAAACTATCCAAGGCATGGAGCCATCTGTGCCCAACTTAATGAGCAACTAACTAATCCAAAAGAAAAATAGCCATTACTTATATAGCCGTAATGTAGATGCAACATGGCATGTAAATCAGTAACTCTTGTATTGCAAAACAGACAAATAGATTAATGCAAGTAGCAAAGGATGGGTGAAGAGATCGATTAGGTTACTGATTCAGACCATGAACTTTCTCTCAATATACTGCATTTAACTTTTAAATAAGGTTTAGGAGAACCTGTAACATTTTGCTCACTGACAGAGCTATATTTTACTAAGAGCAGAAATTGGCTAGTCTATAAAAATTAAATTATGCCCCTTTCACTGTATCTAGTCAAGAGGAAAAACTCTAATTACAAGATTGCACTGTCAAACAAATGCAAATTCACATTCTTTATACCCTGGTTTAAAAATTCATACTGAATGGGGATCCTATTCTGAAATGAAAATCAATATTTGAAATATTTGGCAGAGTGCAATGATAAGCAAGAGCAAAAGAAATGTCATTATCAGGGGTGCTGGTAAATAGACACTAACTCATTAAGTGCAGAGCTGGTGAGAACAAGTCATTCCTTATGCAAACATTTAAATATCAATTAGTAAGAACAATGCAAAAGCTGAAAGAAACCTTTCCTTCTCCAAAGCCCATGCCTTATTATTCCAGAAATGACCAACAGGAAAAGAGCAATGGAAAATAATCTCAGCACCTAATAGGAATTCCACTCTGGGGAATAAGTAAAGGTTAATTTTAAACATATTTCTCAATTGAAAATTAAATGCACCTGCCTCAAAATTCATACGAGCTGAGTTTGCAGCCTTAATCCAGAAAGGACTAACTAAAGACCTGAGCATATTGCATTGCTGGTATTTTTTGAAAAGAGAACACCTTTTATTACTGCTTAATGTCAGACTGGTTTAGTTCATTAAAATTTCTTAGTCCATTTAAAATCCTGTTTTTTTCTATGCTTATGAAAAAATGCCAGTCCCCACAGAACTTAGACATTACAGGCCCTACTGACTAACTTTCACTTCATGCCCTGTCCATTCAGCCAATCAGGTGAACTTGGTGGATGTGAAAAATTATCTAAGTCCTGGGTGGGAGGGGCAAAGGGAAGAAATATTTAACAAACAAAAGAATGTAAAGTTCTTTCTTGGAAAAAAAAAAAACTGAAAAAAAGAAAAGTACAGAATTATCCAAACTCTCCAGAAAAAAAACGGTTATTGATCATTTATAATTTAACTTTCTACTGAGTGTCTGATAGACCTATATATAGGGAAAGCACATTTTGTTTGTCTTAGAATCGTCCGACATTTTTGTTGATATTTATCTCAGAATCTGAACATTATTACAGTGAATCATCTTACTTATCTTTCATACCTATATTGCTACAAAAGTATTTTATTGCATTGCATGTAACTATAGTTCACATAAACAAATATGAAACTTAAAATTTACTCCGCACAGATATTGCTATGAAAATAACCTGCATTTAAAAAGAGAAAGAAAGAAAAATTATCTAGATTATTAGGAATTTCCCTGTATTTATCTTTTAATGAAAGCCTGGTGGTGTATTTCACTCTTTAAGGCACTAACCTGGGAAACCGATTTCAGGTGCCTCTTAGTAATAGTTGGCTAGTGGAGTTGGACCAGACATCTAACTTATCTAACTTTTCTCTTTTCTTCCTCTACAACATGAGAAGGTTTGTCCAGATCAGTCAGTCTCAATTTAAGATATCCCAGAACTTACAAGAGACTCATGGTCAAAAGTAACATAGACTTACAGAATGGAGCTTATAAGAGACTCAGGGCCAAATATATCACAGGCTTACAGAATGGGCTTCTTTAGGGAGAAGCTCAGGTATGGAGTCAAACAAGACTCCAAGGAAGATTCCAATATGGTTTGTTTATTTATTTATTTTGTAATTTGCCAGAAGTCTTGTTCTCTCGAAGGGAAGGGAGAAAGAGAACGTGAGAAAGCACTCCCCATGGTGGACGGTCATACGCAATCTCTTCTCTTCCATCTTTCCCTGCTTTCAGGATTTGGGCATGTATCCACACTCACTGAGTTGCTCAAATCTCAGGGTCTGTGACTCAAAATGTAAGGTCAGCCATGTGGGATCCAGCAGCCTTAACCACCATGCCACCTGCTGGCTCCCAATATGCCCTTTTAAGTAGAAGTCACTGAGCTCTTTCAGCACCAATGCACTGAGATTCTAAGTAAAACACATGCTAGTGATCAAAAAAACAACAGTCTGACTTTGATCCCAAATAGTATCTCTTAGCAGGCATCACTCTCTCCACAGTGGAGAAGTCGAGCATACAATCAAATGAAATGCTGACAGGCTGTAGCATGGAGAAAAGAGAAAAGGACCTGAGAAGAGGACTGCCAGGCTTCCTAAGACACAGCATGGATGGCACCAAGGAAAGTGCCAGATGCACACGGCACAAGTCAACTCTTACTACTGTGTGATGATATAGGCAAAGTTTCGGGTTTGCTCTCTATCCTCGTTGACAAAAAATTAAATTGTCTGCTCTCTAGCAATAAAGGACATGCCTGGGAGGTAGCAGTGCACCCCTATTCCACCCCGAACTTGTTCTTATGATGCAGAAACAAATGTGTTTGGATGGTTTCTACTGCTTTCATGTGCACAGACCCAAACCTAGTGTCCTTTCTTCCTAAATGGCTCTTCTTTTGAATCCATCAACTGCTTCTGTTTCTCAAAACTTCATGACTGAGATCACCTTAGTACTCCTGCCTCTCTATATGTTTTTGGCCCATGACTTGTGCCCAGGAGAAGCTGGTTTGGAGATAAGGCCCTCACCTTGACAGAGCAAGGGAAAACAAGCAACCTCAGGTCAGGCTCTTAGAGACTCTCTTTGTCGAAATGGATAAAATGGGAGTTGTAGTGTCTGCTCTGCCTTTTTACCTGTATGGTTTAGAGAAGAGAATGAAGCAGGATAAAAACCAGCATTTTGAAAATAGAGTGGTGGTATTCATCTCTGATTTTCACTTAGAGGGGAGGAGATGTCTCTCAGAGAAGAGACCTCTCCCGACTTGAATTTAGTCCCCATCCTTTTCACAGCCGTAACCCAGGACATAAAACATGATACACCGATAAGAAGTGGCCTTGAGGATGCTGAAGAAGGTCTTAATGTGTCTACAGTACATCCCCATTTTGTCTGGCTCTAAACTACTCCCTGGAAGAAAGTTGTAAATATCTGAAAGCAACAATAAAGTGTTCACAGTGATTTTGACTAAAATCATAGCAGTCCCTCTGGTAGAAAGGCAGTACATTTTTGCTCAGGTAAGACACAGGAATGAAATGCAAGTAGAAAATGAACTACGTGTGTCAAATACCCATTGTAAACATCACTACAGTTTGTTTTGCCTTGTTAATTGCTCAAATCCCACATGCTGAAAAAAAATGCTTGCTGCTTTTCTTGGGACAAAGTACAACGGAGAGCGATTACATCTCAGATCTCTTAGAAGGGTGATTTTGGTGAAAAGAATCCATACCCAGGCCAAAAAAATAACTTCCGAAGAACAGCCTTTAAAACCGCACACTTATAACATACACCGGGACCGCCTAGCACCCACTCCCCAATACCCATGTGGTTGCCCGCAACACATTTCTTGCCCTTTTTGGAGAAGAAAGTGCTTTCCCAAGGCCCTGGATATAACACAGGAGTCCTCACTTTGGTTTGCCAGTGGGTTAAATGTATCACATATCAGTTCTAATCACTTCACTGAGGCTCTGTGGGCAGTTGACAGAACTACAGAGGGGCGCGGCACTGGGTCATTCGGTATCAGTCATCACATGATAAATGGCCATTCACCCTATCTTTTCAATGTCCTTAAAATAGCAGTGTCTTGTTGGTGCGTTTGACCTTGGAATAGAAGCTACAGCTCCATCCACCTATTCTCCCAAAGTTCCAGTTACACTTTGGGGGACTTCGATTTCTGGTAAGACTATGGTGGAATGTACAGGGAGTTCTTCCTCACTGAGAAGACTCTGATCAACTGAAATGAGAGGGGTCTATTCCCCGAACACTCCTTTGTTTCCTAGTATAATGCCAAAGCCCTGGGCCTCAGCCCATCAGTAGCTAAGCCTGTAGGGCTGGGAACTGCATTCCTTTGAAAGATCTTGGCAATTTGTGCTTGGAATTTGATGCATTAGTTCTAAAATTAAATAAAGATCCTGTAGTGTTCTTCAAAGAAATATGGTGTGGCTCTATGACAAAACACATTTTTCAAGCTCTGACCTCTGGGAACTTCAACTAGCTCTATATTTCAGGCTGACACTGCTCACGGGCTATGTCTAGTTGCCTAAGCCAGGGCCAGTTACCCATATATTTTCCAACTCCATCAGCTTTTAGCATAGGAAGGAGAGGCAAGTAAATAAAGGAGAGCCACTAATTTAAATGCACTCCCCCTCCCAGGTCCCTTAGGGAGAAGCCCTGGTAATTAACTTTAATGAGATTAAAGTAACTTGGAACTCTTCATTTCCCCAGCGCTGTAAAAGTAAATCTGTGATAACCTATGTGCCGTGCTTTAAATCAGTCAGTCCTTTTTCCTGTAATTTAACGCCCTCCTCACTCCCACCCCCAGGCCCGACTGAAGAGCAGAAGGGTAGAGCTGCCGGGCTCTTACCGGCACTTTGCTCCATTACTTCTTTCTGACACATGTCTTGAACGTTCACCGTGCAATTCACGATGAATTCGGGGGAGGAGCAGTCGTTGTTCAGCTGGAATTCTTCACACTGGTAGCACTGGATTTGCAGTGCAAAGCCTGCGGGATAGACGCAATCTGGTTCAGAGCCGGCCCCTACAGTGCCCACCCTCGAAATCACTACCAGTCTCAGGCTCAAGGAGTTTCTGTTACCGGTGTCCAGCTGTTGCTGGCCCCCGGTGCCTGTGCTTGCCACTCTTGGGTCTCTAAGAAAGGCTGGAAGTGGCTGAAGCCGGCAGAGGGCGGCGCGGGTATCGAGGGTCCTGCATGATAAAGTGGAACGCTGCCCGCGACCCCAGGATCCCTGCTCTAGACACAAACGGCCCATCCAACACCACCCAGACTTTCAAGAAGTTGAAAGGAGTGGGTGGGTACAACCTCCAGCGCTCAGACGCTCCAGGGACGCGCATCAGCTCCAGTCTATGCCAAAGGATTTGCCTAATTGCTAATTGGTTACAAATTACTTAATTACTATTTTGGCACCGTTCATGATTGCATTCACAGACGCCTTTTCAGTTTTATTTATTTAATTTTTGAAGTCAGGGTTCCCGTGCTGAGGCTCCGAGGCTCCCTGCACAACCACCCCGGGACCCGGGAGGAGGCGCCGGGTCCAAATGCTCCTGCGCCCCAAGTCCCGGCCCAGGTCAACCGCCCTTCTCCGGGACCGCCCCTAAGGCGGCCCGGATGACCACAGTCTGCAGGAGGGGGCGTATATGTTGAATGTGCGCGCGCGCACCCTGGACCGCTACACCACAGCCCTTTCATCACCCGCAGGGTCTTTCAAGGCAACGATTTGGCTAGGGTCTGTGGTCGGGGGTCTCAGCTCGCTAGAGCTCAGCCAGAAGCCGGTAGGCGCACTGATACGAGGGAGGAGACGTTTGCCTCTCTCATCGCTTCTGCCTCCTAGCTCTTCTCGGGTCTAGCTGCTGTCTAGACCTAAATGTTCGCGCTGCTCCGCCCGGGCGCGCCCCCTCCCAGTCCCACGCTGGCCGCACTCTAACAGCAGCAGCCCAGCTCCCTCGTGCCGGGGTCGCCAGCTGGCCAGATCGCCTCTCACCTGTCGGCGGCGTCACTCCCACGGTTTGCCAGACAACTTGGCGGGGTTCGGGGAGTGTCGCCCCTCTCCTTCGCGAAGGCCCCTGCACAGATCAGACCTCCCCCCTCTCACACACCACCACCACGCACACTTCTCCCCAGCCCAGCATCTCCAGACCGTGCAGCCGGAGCAGCTGCAGCTGGGAGTCCCGCAAATCTGCCGCTCCCCACTCTCCTCCTGCAGCGCGGGACTTGGAGACTTTCCCAGTCTAGCGCTTCTGGGCACCAGTCGCCGCCGACAAACTCCCGCTGGGCAGTCCCTGCGCTGCCGGCGCTGAGGTGGGCGCTCTGCGGGCGGAGGGCCGGCGGGTAGATGGAATGTGTGTGCCTGGCCGAGCTCTGGCTTCTTCGTCTTCTTACCTGGAAGCAAGAACAATCCGCAAAAAGTTGCCGCGATGCCGAGGACCCACATCCTCTCGTAGTCGCCGGGCCGGGAACAGGCAGGCGCATCAGAGGCGGCCACCGCCGCCGAGGGCGGC